CACACACACACACACACACACACACACAGGTACATATACATTAGCCAATGTCAGTGTAAATCCCAACTCTTTATGCCAAATGAAATACTGAGTCTCATTTTCCCGTCAGCAAGTCATTTACATTTTCAACATGTTTGTGGCTTCACCCAGGACACACAGCCCCATACCGACACACACACACACACACACACACACACACATTATGGTGTATAACTGGGAGCAGTGTTTTAATGGACACTTAATAAAAAGTGTTTGGTTTTCAATTAGAGGACTGTGGTCTGAGTTGGGTGAAGGAGTTGTTGTCCCGGGCTGAGGACTGAAATTTGTTTGTGTTTGTCTGTGCTTTCTAATGCACAGTTTAACCCAGTGTGAGCCTGATGGAATACTCTACCCGCTCTTTCTGAAACATCTCTATATTAGACACTTGTAAGATTTATGTAAAAATTAAATATTTTGACTTCTTAGGTGCACCCTGAGGTCACATAAAAGTCAGTCGCTCTTACACCAGGCACCGAGTGTTTTTGCTAGAAATGTGTTCAGGCACATTGTTGGTTCATTGCTATCTCCAGGCAGTGGACTTGGTCTGAAGTCAGTGGTGCAGTTTTTCTCTGTTTAAAAAATAATTGAATATTTCTTATTTTTTTGTTTTTGTTCTTGTTTTCATTAGTGCGATACAAATACAATTATGTATCATCATGTAGATACTAATATGCACCCATTTATGTGTAGATGCACAATGTACACTTTACTTGTTACACTTGAGCCATGCACTTTAGACTATGCTCTTAGATCATTAAACTAGAACCCAATATGTCAGTGGTCAGGAGAAAAATAGTCCAATTACTTTTTTACTGCATCTTCCCTTTTTCTTTTTTCTTGTTACTTTGAACTCAGTTGTCTGCTGAGCTCAGAAACATTTGAAACTCTGCACACTGACACAAGAAGCAATATTTTGATGGACATAATGTGTTCCTGAATTTTATAAACAATTTGACATATCTTTGTTGCCAAAATATAGATTCGCTAATGTTTTTTAATAACTGTTTTACAGATTCTCAATAAAATGAATCCTTCACGTATGCAGATACTTTAATGCTGAGTCACTGATTTTGTAAATAAGTATGAATCTGTAATCTGAGATCAATCTCTTCTGACTGCAATGTGCATCAGCCACATACTGATCTGTCCTTCATAATATTAATTACAGGAAGGTTCCGGAGGGAAAGAGACACTGTGGATTCGCTGGTGACCATGGATATGACAATAAGATCAACAGCATGCAGGTACATCTATCTGTAATATAAACGAAACATCCAGAGATTCTTTCATTTACTTGTAACAAAACTGATTCCTTGATTTTATCTGTGTGTTATTTATTGTAACGGATCACGTGACCTGTGTTATTCACTTTTCATTTCATTTTCAGACTATTTTCTTGGGGTACGGACCTACGTTTAAATTCAAGACAAAAGTTCCAGCCTTTGAAAACGTTGAGCTTTATAACGTCATGTGTGGTAAGGCTTGTTTTCATCTCTTTTTCTGGGTCTGGGTGTGTATGAGTGTGTGAGAGTGTGCAGGGGCGCCACCAGGATTATATTTCATTGCACACATTATAACTGCCCATTCGTAATTACAGTCTCAGTGTACGCACATGCACAGCAAGCAAGTGCATGAGCGAGAGAGATTGATTCCTGTCATGTGCTTATTTTTCCACTTTTTAATTGTGGTGTAGCTCAGGGTGCCTGCACAACTTCAAGTGTAGTACAGCACAATAAACGCAGTCAAGGCATAGGACCACAAACTCAACGAAAGCAGGGAACATCGTAAATAAGTGTTTCCCTTTAAACTCACAGTTTAATCTTTCTTATTTTATTTATCATTATCATCAACAAATGAGGACAAAAAGATTGTAATGACAAATCCAAACCAAGGAGCTATAATGAACCATCGAAAAGCAGGATGTGTCTGCTTTAAGACATTCACTGAACTGACCTGTGTTAGGTCACTGTGAGCGAGAAGGGGTGTTGATGACGTTTTCAACATGCGAAAGACGCAAAAATGAGAGAAACAGAAAGAATATAAATGTCTCAGGATAAAAGAAATGAGAATATCCTGATGCATTGTTTATGCATGGAAGGCAAACTCTTGAGAAACTCCTGATGCAGTTCTCCAGACATCCTCTGGAGTTCATGTCTAAAAAGGCTGTAATGTTGTGAAGGTGATTTTGAGACCCTGGGAGGCAGCTAGAAAAATTGTGTCTCATTCTCAAGCACATTGTTTAATACAACAGAATCTAAAACCTGATCTGCTGTTTTTTCTGTACCTGAACACAGTGAGTGACGTTCTGTTTCACTTCTCCCACTTGCCTCGGTGACTCTCACTCTCAGATCTTCTGGGTCTGAAACCAGCCCCCAACAATGGAACCCACGGCAGCCTGAACCACCTGCTGAGGACTCCCCTGTACAGACCCAGCATGCCAGAGGAGGTTTCCAGACCCACAGCCTCCGGTCTTGTTTCTACGGGAACAGATGACCTGGGCTGCAGCTGCGATGACAAGGTCAGCTGTGGTGACCTGGCCCCGGCTTCCTGTACACTGTGAAAGGAAATCTAATTTTTGGGAGATTGGCTTGTCGGTCAGCTCACTGACATCAGTGATGACAACCGTGTAATCGCAATCACCCTCATCCCCATGGTTACAAAATCAGGCCAAAATGCAGCAGCTAAAGTGATTTAAAATGTGTGAATCATTAACTGAATGAATTCATATGTTTTCAGTCTCAAAACTTAAAACTTGTTTTAAGGAGCACTGTTATGTAATTAGTAGCTGTTATACAACATGGAAGTTCCATTTAATTATCACAAAAATGAAAGTCATTTCACATATTGACTATTGATTGTTCTGCTTTGATAGTATTGTATTCACTAGTAATTGCTAAGTAAACGTCTTTTAAACATGTAGTTAAATGCCTTTAGCAGCAAAAACAACTAAATAGTTTTATCTGAACTGAGGCGACCTGGCAGCACAGACCATAATCTCCAAAGTTTCCATTTCGGACATCCACCATTGACTGACTCATAATTGCCTTTCTATGACAGTGAAAAAACATGTATTTTTGCCTGATCTCAGTGCTGGAGAAAAAACAGAGGCTCACAAAATCAATGTGATAGATCTTCTGTGGAACCATGAATATTTATAATATACTATTTGTGAATACAGACTGGGGTTTTCAAGATAGCATCTGGCTGATGTTTGGTCTGCACAGCACTATTTTAAACTTCCACAGAGAACTTACTTGTTTTCGGAGGGGAGAAAAAACAGCATCTGACACATTTATTGAATTAGTTAAAATATATATGTGATTTATTATTAGGAAGCTACAGGTCATTTAAACTAAAAAGTTAGTTGTCTTGAAAACAATACGACATATGTCCCCGAACATAGCTTAGTATTTAATGTTGGCATGACTCAATAGAGCTAATGGAGATACATGGAAGCGTTTCATATCTATTGCATGTTTGCATCACTTTAGACAAAGTTGATCAACAGGCCAATCGATAAAAATGACAATGTAAAACTTTAATGTGATGATGATGACACATGGACAGTGTTTTGAGTCAGGGCTGTCGGGCAGTTCTGCCACAGCAACATTTGGTTGGATGCTCGTAATGAAAACAGCACAATAGTTCTGTTTACTTCTATACTCACTGTCACCAAGTAGCCCACGATGATGAGAAAACCCTGATGATCCTAAATGTCAGTAAAACAGCCTGACAGCATGTTCTCAAACACTGTCCCATGTGTCATGAGCTCATGGGATGCACTTTATGTTACAGCTCCCTCATCTGTAATTACACTTCATTAAGAATGATATGGCACTTAATTGATCCCCTCAGGCAAAATGAGACAATTAATATGTCTGTTTTTTTTCCTTTATTCAACAAGGGAAATGCACAGTATATTTATTTTACTTTATACACATAAACGCTATCTGCAGTGTCTGAACTACATATATACATTATATTCTGATGTTACAGATATGAGGGAGTTCAAAGGAGCAACCTACCTTAACTGGAGCCATCAAAACAATCATCTCTGTATTCAGTCCAAAGACTCAGAGTGAAGTCAGGCTTTGGACTGAGATGAGATGTTTTCATCTGTGCACTGTTTTGGCTGTTAAAAGTGATATTTAACTTACACCTCTCACAAGTTATTACTGGCTGCTCTGCAGAGAGTGTTAGATTGTTTTCTTTTTTTACATCTAAGGACTAGGAATTTTGTTCTGGTCTGTTCAGGAGTCATTAATCCTGCAGAGGTGATCCAGGAGTTAATGTTGGAGCTGAAAATTAAAAAGTGGAATTATTATTTTTTTTGTTCAAATGGAAAAAAAGACCAAATTCAACTTCTCCTCATGCACAGTTGTAAAGTTATCACGAACATTCCTGATATTTTGGCAGTGGTGCATTGGTTGAGCTCCATTAATGCATCAAACTGAGTTTTGATGATTTGAAATGCTGGTAATGCTGAGGTTAGCTGGTCTTCTCATGCTCTGCAGAGCGTTGTGTGACTCTTGGAAAAGGCCAGATGTGTGTTGCCATGTCAGAAACTTTTAGCAACAGTACAGATATCTCAATTACAGCACAAAAAAGAGGGGTTTCAAATACAGATGTTATCTTTTTTTTACTTTTGCTGTGCAGTTGAACTTTTTACTTGTAAAAAGACTCATCTGCACGGGCCAATCAGAAGTGATTATTTGTTGACTTGTGATGTATGTGATTGCCCTGTTGTGTCTTCTCTTCTGCTGTCTTTAAAAGTGAAATGAGCTTGTTGCCTCTTTGCTTTCTGCTGCAGAGCTGGTGTCACTTCACCTCCACCTCCATTCATTCATTCTGAAACTTGATGCAAAGAGGAAATCTCTCTTTTCACTGAACCATTTCCCTTTGACAACCTTCTCTGTCCAGACTTGGTCAGTGTATTACCTGATTTGCTTGCATTGAAGTGTGGATTGGATTGGAGACCCAGCCCTGCGGCACACTGTTTCACTTTATCTGTGTTTGTCATTCCCATGAAGATCTCTGGCAAGAGATTGTTTCAATCTCCGATCTTTTTGCAGTTGCGTGTAAAAAGTAGGGGCCAGAGAGGTTTGAAAGTGACCCTTGTACGAGGCTATAACCTGGAGTCACTCTGGCTCTGTCTCTTACAGAACAAAGTGGAGGAGCTAAACCAGCGACTGAGGCAAGCTATTGATGGTCAGTCTTCCATGATGCTACTGAAAATGTGTGACGTGTCCTGTATGCAGTTAGTTAGAATGAAAACATGCGTACATTGTCTTTTTAAATGGACAGAACGTGTAGGTGCAGCCTTTCTGATTCCTCTATCAGGTTACTTTGCCGTCCACTATAGTACACAGCAAACTCCATCCCTAAATAACCAGTCTATTCTGATCTAGATGGTTATTTGCTTATAATAATATCACGTATCCTGTCGCAAACATCTGCTTTGTGTCAACAGCTACTTGCAAAGATGCATCATCTGACTGTTAGTTATTGTTCCTGCATTCTCTGACTCCTGTTCCAGTCTCTCCTCTGCTGTAACCCTCTGTGCTCCTCCTCTCTCAGACAGCAGGAACCTTCCGTACGGTCGACCTGCTGTACTCTTCCGTACCAAATACTCCATCCTCCACCACAGTGACTTCATCAGTGGCTACAGCGAGCCTCTCTCTATGCCGCTCTGGACATCATACACCGTCAGCAGACAGGTACCGTGCATCCTGTGCTCCTTACTTTCTGCTGAAAGGTTATTAAGTCTTCGCTGTGTGTTTTGAACCAGTGCTTTTCAAATGGTGGCTTGCAGGGCCCCTGAGAGTGGGTCACAAATTTGTAGGAGAAAAGTCAAACTCTTTAGTGCCGAGCTTTTATTTTGAAGGACATATGCTTTCACATTGTCAGAGCTGGCACATAAAAGCATGAAGCCAAAACACAAGTGTCAATGGTTAAATTCAAGTGCTAGTGAAAAGCCACAGAAACCATTGATAATTACTGCAGTGTTTCTTGTGAAATAAATTTGAGTTGTCCAAATATTTGGGTCGCGACTTAATGACTCAGGAAAAATGTCATTTTTTTGGTGTGTGTTTCCTACTCTATACATCAAGTGAAACAACTGCCAATAACAAATCAAGTTGTGGGTTATTGATTTTGCACTCTGTGCTTCAGGCGCCATCTGCTGGCAAAAGCACAATTGAACCCTTTTCCCTCTTTGTACCTTCTCTCTTATTTCCTCGACAATTGCTCTGATAAGATGCACAACTGTTAAACAACTGACAACCACAAACAGTTCTACAACAGAAGTAGATCTATGACCTGTGCTGTGTAACAATAGCTCTTAGTTGCTCTTTGTTATGTTTCAAAGAAAGTTGCCCGAGGATGAACCCACCCCATCATGTGTGTTTGTGTGTGTGTTTGTGTGATGTGTGTGTGTGGCCCTCCAGGTAGAGGTGTCTCCTCTGCCTGAAGCTCTTTCAAACTGTGTGAGACCTGATACCAGAGTCCCTCCAGCCTACAGCCAGTCTTGCACCAACTACAGAGCAGACAAACAGATCTCATACGCCTTCTTGTACCCACCACGTAAGTTTACCTGCACAGCTTCACTGTTTAAAAACTGAGAAGGGGCTTCAGAAAGTATTCAGACCAATTTATTGTGTTGGAAAATTCACACTTTGAACATTAATCTATTGTCAATTAGCCACAACGATGAAGTGAAAACTGGAATGTCATTATGGTTGAGTGTGGACTGACAAAATGTCAATTTTAAGTTCAAGAAAATTTTAAAATTTAAAATAATAAAATTGTTGAATTCATATACAAATAACCATTAGTTGCTGTCCCAACCCAAGTCTGTGATGTGATTTGTTTGACTTAGCTTTATATTCAGTTCTAACATTGGGATCTGAGAACATAGCCACAGTTTGTAAGTCTTTCTTTTTTCTTTATTGACAGAATTATCCTCAACGATGGAAAAAAAATATGATGCTGTCCTTATCACCAACACGGTTCCAATGTATCCTGCATTCAAGAGTAAGTCTGTGTTTTTTCCCCTCAGATATGTGAGTGGAGTCCTGCTCAAAGATTTAAAAATGTTCTGATCAAGACAAATCACCACTAATAGATTCATTGATGTATTTGCTGCTTTTTCTTTCTCTCCTCTCCCATCTTCCCTGTTTCATCACCACATCATCTCACCTCTCTCTCACTGCCACAGGGATCTGGGGCTACTTCCAGAGAGCACTGGTGAAGAAATATGCCACTGAGAGAAACGGAGTGAACGTGCTCATTGGACCCATATTTGACTACAACCACGATGGTGTCAGGGACTCTGCAGAGAAGATTAAAGAGTAAGAACACCCAACATTCATTGATTTGATTTGATTTGATTATTGCAGCTACACACATTTTAATCTTTTTGTTTAATTTTGGAGGTGTAGAAGTCAGTCCAAACCATTTCATTAGTTT